TCTCAAAAGTTTTCAGTTGCAAGCAGTTCATTTCAAAGTGTTAAAAATGATGAATAGCATTTCAGAGCTTCAATAACAGTGCCTTTTGTTTAGCCTGAACAAAGAAAATGTGATGGCTACTTGTGTATTTATTGGGGCAATTGGAAGTCAACCTGCAAGGCAGATGCTTGCAGTATGTATCCATTTAGGCTGGATTTTTGTGCTCTGTTAAATGTATAGGATTAATTTGGTTCCCATCAATTTACTTATGTTGAGTGGTTTATAAAATTATCACCATAAATTTCAGATTATTTGTCCCTCTGTTCAGCATTTGGTTTTGAGTTTAGCTTCAATTGATTTTGTCTTTAATCGGTTGCACACACACAAGTGCTTCTCAACATATCCCAGACATTAGTTCTGTATTTTTTAAAAAAGCATCTTGTATTTTGTAGTATGTGAATATTTAATTGACTATTTTTAAAAGTAATTCTTTTGGGTTTATTTGATAAGAAATCTGACTTCAATATACTTCCTGAAGTTGTAAATGCTAATAATATTCTGTTTGGACATAGACCTATCAAGTTCCCCACTTTAGCATTAATCCTTTTAATTATGTGCTGCTTTTAAAAAGCGTGTCTAGATGTTCTCCTTGTACTAATGTAAATTAGATCTTTCTGCCTTGATTTCTATGGCCAACCACTTGATGAAGTTCTAAGATAATTCATCCTAAGGTTTATTCCAAATCCCAATTATGCTTTCTTTTAATCAGCCTCATGATTATTTCTTGACATCATTCTAATTTGGATGAGGAAAATTTTAGTAATACTGATATGTCTGTTAGCAAGTTTGTATCTGCAGTTGTGTGGCTGAGTGAGTCCAAGACCCACAGTCCAGTTGTCATATCAAGAAGCAGAAATTCAAAGGGTATCATCACAACAGAAAAAGCTGTTGGAGTAAAGCAAGATTGCACAGAGCTTGCTGCTATATATGAATGTAATCCCAGTGTAATTGCATATCGTTAGAGACTGACTTTGTTACTGAGTTCTAAATCATGAAGATTACTAATTCTTTCCCTTTCCTTTCCTCTGGACTTCCAAAGTAGTCTTACAATAGGGTGGAAAGGAAAGGATTTTTCCTATAGGTCAGAAATATTTTGTCTCCCAAGAGTGCTCTGCTTTTCTGAAAATCAGTATGGTTTTGATATGAGTTGAAACTGGCTTTTAGCTTTTTTCGTTTGGTGCATTTGAGAAATATATAAAAAACCAAAATGTGGAATAAAATTAAAGACTTGAAGTTTATGGGTTTTCAGTTGCTAACTATAGCACAGACTTCACTCATCCAACATTTGCTTATGAAGAATAATTCATAGGACCATTTCCATCTAATTAGGATCAGATGTACATCAGCTTCTGGTCTATTTATTTCTGTGTTATAATTACAAATGTATGTTCAACTCACTGTACCTCTTGTCCTTTTGTATCACTAAAAAAATCCTCATTTTGAGCAGCAAACTATGTGAAACTGTTTTGAAATGAAGTAGCTATGTCAATTACCTTCTTAGTGTTATTTTGTATAGACAGCTACCATGGGTGAATATCATATTGACAGAATCTCTTCCCTATTGTGTAACAATTTAATTAAATTTAAATTCTACAACTGAGAAAAACAGATTAAGTTTTGGAAAACTTTGCTTCTTGGGGAAGTGGTTATGGTATAATATGTAGTGTTTGTTTTTATTCTTTTTGAACAATTGAGAAGTGTGAAATTGAATTTAATAATAATGTCATATATTATAGGTGATTTGGAAACCCGTAGTGCTGAATATTGAGGCACATATATTCTCACAATTGCAAATTTGAGGACTTAAGAACTTGAAAAATTAGCCTGCAGATGATAACGGGTAGCAGGATAAAAAGTGATGTACATTTGACTAATACAAATAAAAACCAATATAACTATGCTTATGATTTTAAAAAGTATGGCAACAATGGAAAAATAATGAAGAGGCAGGGGGACACAAAGATATCTACATGCATTATTTCAGTGTTTTTATAACAGGGACATTAGAAATAGTTTCAGAAATCATTCTGGCTAAACTCCAAGATAGATCTCATATATCCAGTTCTTTTCAAAATGGTTAGAGGTAGACAATCTCAGAGTGCAAGGCCTCTCTTAGATTTAAGAGACCACAGTCTGTTTTTTTGTTACTCCTGCGATTTCAACAATGACTTCCTTACCTGCAATGTCAGAGAGTCTTGATGTTACTCCGACATTTATTGATGGCACCTTATACAAATAGTTTTCTTTGTCTTAACAAAAAGTTTATTCTGCTGATCTCTAGGGAGAGGAAAGAAATGGAAAGCCTTAAAAATAAAATGGAAAACCGTAGGATCTGTCTAACTGGGGGGGGGGGAGGAATGGAGCTGATAAGTAGGAGTGAAGGTGGAGTCACTCAGTGTAGCAGTGGGGCATAGAATACAGTGTAGAGCCAAAACAGTCCAAACTCAAATGTGTTGCAAGCAGAAAAAATGGATTAAAAATGCTGATAATCAGACAGATGTAGCAAATTATTATAAATTTAAAGGCATGCATTCTTATGCTCTGCATTTTATTTGTACCAGCTGGAAACTATTCTCTGAGTTTCATAGTGAAGGAATGCTAAAGCACAGTAGTGCCAAAATCAGTCAGGTAGTGAATCTACAGGCGAAATTATTAAGTTAAATAATTGTTTGCTTCTGACTATATCCAAATGTTTTTGAATAAGCATTGCTGTTTATCTGCAGAACCAACTTTTTCTCCTCCTCACACCATGTATTTATTATAGGGACCACTACATACAATGAAAGAAGATACATGAAGTATTTCTCACAATTATCCAGGCCTTGTTTTCCAACTATGTCCCAACTGCTTCTCTTCATTTATGGGCAAATTGTTTCTATTCCTAGACGAAAAGGTGGAAGATAAATCAGATAATAAATAATAGATCTTTGCATTCATTTCTAAGACTTAATTTGAAATTGGATGGTCTTGGCCCATAATCATAAAGAGCTACCATTGGGAGATGTGTTTGTGAAAGGAGGGAATTTTAAAAGAGAAGGTCCATATTATTCCTCATCTCTCAACTGAATAACTGTAACAGCAAATACTGTCCAATTCCCAGTTCACAAATTACTGATCAATATATATATAAAACAAAGTAATGAAATGATATATTTTACTTCTCAATACCACTTTTCTTTATATTTAATGGTGAATGAAGCAGAAAGAATCTGCCAAAAGTTAAAAACTGCTTTTAACACTGGAGTGTAAGAATAAATTGCATTTGAATCGATTTTAGTCAGCTAAAGTGGAAATCAGTTTCCTAGATAAATATTAGTTCATTTTAGAGAATAAGCATCTACTTTTAGGAATGGAAAAATATCTAATTCCACAAAATTTGTTTTATGTGTGTGTCAGTGATGGGATTCAATTTTTTTTACTACTGGTTCTGTGGGCGTGGGTTGATGGGCGTGGCAGGGGAAGGATACTGTAAAATTTTCAGTCAGAGGTGGTATTTGCCGGTTCTCCAAACCACTCAAAATTTCCGCTACTGGTTCTCCAGAACTGGTCAGAACCTGCTGAATACCACCTCTCGTGTGTGTGTGTGTGTGTGTGTGTGTGTGCATATATGTCTTGAATCAGTCTTGACTCCTAGCGACTGACTGGACTAGTCCCTGCAGTTTTCTTTGCAAGATTTTCGGAAATGTCATTGCCTTTTTCCTAAGGTTGAGAGATTGTGACAAGCCCAAAGTCACCCAGCTGATTTTGTGCCTAAGATGGGACTAGAATTCACAGTCTCCTGGTAGTTCTGAATTCCATGAAATACAGAATATCAAAATAACACTTAGTAAATAGTATAGAGTACCTTCATCTCCATTTTATTTATGTGTTGTTGTTAGTCGCAAAGTCCTGTCTGACCCATCACGACCCCATGGACAACATTCCTCCAGGCCTTCCTGTCTTCAACCATCCCCTGGAGTCCATTTAAGCTCACACTGACTACTACTTCAGTGACTCCATCCAGCCACCTCATTCTATACTGTCCCGTTCTTCTTTTGCCTTCAATCTTTCCCAGCATTAGGCTCTTCTCCAGTGAGTCCTTCCTTCTCATTAGGTGGCCAAAGTATTTGAGTTTCATTTTCAGGATCTGGCCTTCTAAAGAGCAGGCAGGGTTGATCTCCTCTAGGACTGACCGGTTTGATCACCTTACAGTCCAAGGGACTCACAGGGGTCTTCTCCAGCACCATAGTTCAAAGGCCTCAATTCCTTGGTGCTCAGCCTTCCTTATGTACTTGAACCTATGTATTTGAACTTTCAAGCACTTCAACAGTATTTAAACATTCACAGATACAATTAATTTGGGCTAAACTGATTTCTCAACATGCATATAGCAGCTTAATATGGAAAAATGTGTATGGATTCTGCTATATTCATTCCTGGCAACGTATTCTCTCTCCTTCTCAGCTGCAGCATGTGAGCTATAGAAAATATTCAATTATAAATTTGTCACATAGCTAAAGGCAAGCTGTCACTTTCCAGATTCCCTTCTCCTCCTCATATGTCTATTAAATATTTGAATTCCAGATTAACAGTTTGTCTCAAACACAATTTCTCCAACCCTTCATATGATAACAGATAACAGATAATCAGAGTTGGACCTTGTAGGTCATCTAGTCCAAGTGGGAGACCCTACACCATTTCTGACAAATGGCAGTCCAATCTCTTCTTGAAAGTCTCAAGTGATGCCAGCAAGGAATCTCAGGAAGGCTTCCAGCAATACTTCTGGAGAGGAACAAACACCACCCACCTTTTTAAAAAAAAACCTCTCTGTAAATCCTTAAAAGTGAATACACAAAAATAGTTTGCAGCAGGCTCTATGACAGCTATTTGGCTTCTATATTTTCCTCTATTATTAGTTTTAGCCCATGACGGTTTCTAAGCACTTGCTTGTCTATAACAACAATTTTGCTGTATCCTTACAGGTTGGTGGTTTGTAAGTACTTCAGAAGAGCAAGGCTGGGTCCCTGCAACTTATTTGGAATCCCAAAGCGGAATTAGAGATGATTCTGAAATTAACATGTCCAAAAGAGGAGAAGGTAAGAAAACCTGATGCATTTACAGGTACTTTTCTATATTCAAATATAGTGCAGATGAAAAAAATGGAGAACCAAGGAAGTGTAAAAAAAAATTATTCCTGTGATCCAGAGCTTCTTGATTATAAGAATGGAACCCATAAGGAATATAAGAAATATTCTTTTTTTCAATTATACAGAAAAATTAGAAAGTGTAATAAAAGTATTCAACATAAATATTCTGTATGATAATAATGCAAAACTTCTAGCAGTTAGCTGGAATAATTATAACAGTGATGTATATTGGTAATATATGCCTATTAATTGGCAAGAGAGGATACAGTAACTTCTTATTCCAATTTTCTCTTTAATTTCTTGTAGTTGGGGGAGTCTATGTGTAATGTCTTTAAAATTCTCAATTTTAAAATATTTTAAAAATGAAATAGATGCTTAATCATATGCAGATATTGCCATGTAAAGGTTATTGTACTTTTGTTCTATATCACATGCATTTTTGTCTGATCTGGCAAATACCCATTCTCCCAAAAGTGCTTTTAGCTAACCTCCTTTGGATGGTGCTAACTGAATCCACTTATTCCCATGTATTTGCTCCATTTTAGCGTATATTCTTCTCATTATTGCATTCCTATATAAGTTGTTCATCATTTAAATCCTGAATAACTGTGTACAGAGGACACTTGTCATTAAGTTTTATTAATGATCCCAGTACAGTGACAGTCTGATTATATTCCACTTAACTATGCCTAGAGATAAAAAACCAAAATATATTGCTACAGCAAAATAATGGAGTATAGGTAGCTAATAGTCCATACTTCATACTCCAATTTCAAGCCAGCTATGTTTAAATGGAAGTGAAAATGTTGTGGAGAGCAGAAAGCAAGTTTTCTGTAATTCATCAGCATTTGTCTTTTGGAGAGCAGAGCACAATGGTCTTTGGCCAGTTGAAGAAAAAATCTATGCAAGTAGAAAGATTCAGCCGACATAGTGGTATTAGAGGATGCTGGATGGTAGACAATAGTATGGCAAAATGATGTTTGATTAGTAGACTAGGAAATTCAGGAATCAGTTGTAGATGGGTAATCTACAAAGAGCCAGTTTGGTCCAGTGTTAAGGCACCAGGCTATAAAGTGGGAGACAGTGAGTTCAAGTCCTACCTTGCCATGGAAGCCATCTGGGTGACTTTGGGCCTATCAATCTCTCTCAACTCAGCCCACCTCACAGGGTTGCTGTTGTGGGGAAAATAGGAGGGGGAACATAATTGGATAAAAAAAATAATTAAAAATAAAGTAATAAACATCAAATTTAGCTGGAGCTGTTAATGCAGGTTACATATTTTTCCTCACAGGAATTCTTTAATTTTTTTTACTCAAGACTAAAACTGGTAGATTTATTTCTTTCTCTTTGTACATTGAAGTTCAAAATATTCAGTTATAAATGCAAGAAACATGTTGCTTCCTGGAAAAAAAGCAACAATGAAATGTCCTCTGTGTTCAGCTATTTTAACAATTACACTGTCACAAAGAATTCTTTCTTTTTATACACAAGTGAGTCTCTGCATATTGAACAGATGAGATTGTCATATCTGATAGCACATATAATTGCCTTGGATCTCTCTAAATGTCATTTTTAAAGAATCAGAAAGTTGGTCTCAAGATAGAAATTGTGTATGCTAACTCTTCCAAACTTTGGCTTGGTTCAGGTCTTCTTCAGATTATTTACACTATTCTTTCATAATTACCTAACATAATTTAGTTATCTGTCTTGGGAATAGATCAGGGGTGTTCCTTCCTCATCCTGCTCACACCCCCATGATGTCACCTGTTTCCAGGACCTAACTTCCAATTTACTAGGTTTAAAAAAATATTTTTCAAAACGTTTCAAACCTAAATAAAGAACCGGTTTGGATATTCATTGTTTTAAAAGCTGATTTCCTTCCAAGAGACCCAAAAATGTTCAGCCTCTTAGAATTACAGGAGGTCCTCATTCAGCAATCTTTCATTCAGCTACTAACAATGGTAGTTACAACAAGATAGCTGTTACAACATTCCAGGGTCACATTATTGCAGTTTGTGACATTCTCTTCTGGGCTTCCCACAAACAAAGTCAATGAGGAAGCCAGCAGGAAGTCAAACGCTATGGTCATGTGAGGTCCTTGCTTAATGACATGTTGTAAAGTAATCTCATTACATTATTTATCACATCACATTCTTGTTAATGCAAGGTGAAGCTATGCAATGATCATTGTTTTTTGTTCAGTTTGTGTTCTCCATCCATCACATTTTATATTCCTTTCCTTGTTTTATGTTTTCATCCATTTTTCCAAAATAGTTTCTAAGAGACGCAAGGCTCACCTGAGGCGCTTGGACCGTCGATGGACACTGGGAGGGATGGTCAACAGGCAGCAGAGTCGAGGTGAACATTTTTCTGGGATGTGGTCCCTTGAAAGATGCACATGCTTGGTTGCTGCTTCTTCTCTTGCTATTTGATGCTGCTAAGAATGGCTGGCAGCTGCATAAGCTTTGATAGGGCCTTGTTTTCCTGCAGCAGAAAGAAGTCTGTTTGCAGAGAAGATAGAGGGTATTGTAATGTTATCTGCTGATAACGTTTCAACATAGGAGTCGATTAAAGATATTAGAGACACTTGTGTTTTACAAACAGTTGTTTCTGGTAGTCTAGTCGGTAGTGAAACCTGGGATCATTGAGAATCTTTTTCTGTATTTATTCAAAGGCATGTTTATTCTAGCTTCATGCAGAAAGATATACTTACCTTTTTTCTACTTTTTAAAAATTTGGTTAAAAAGTACACTAAGACTTCTTCTAAATGTACATTTTGGAAACGTTCTCAAGAGGTATGTGGCAATTTTACAATTATAAAATGTAGGTGTGTTTGAATGATCAGGCTTTTACTGAACAGGAATCATCTTTCCTGTGATCTGTAGCCTCCTTGACCTTCCTTGCTTCCCTAGGGATATTCTAAGACATCAAGAGTTCCTTCTTCCAATTCAGGTTTTGTTCCTAGAAGCATTGCTGTTACTCATAAGGAAAAGTCCTGTCTGATAAATTACGGAAACAAATTTGATTGGGGAAGTCAGTTTCTTCTTCCCCATTTGGAACTGAAATTTGTACAAAGCTAGAATTCACTTTGAAATTGTTTTTAAAAATGAGTTAACTACCACATTTGGCATTTGGATTAAAAAGAAAATGTTTCCAAATCCTCAGTTAATAGTTTATATTAACTTTTTTAAAAAAATTCCAGAGAAGAGAGGGAAAGCAACATTGTAAAGTGAGTATATGTGAACTACAAAATGTAGTTCACATATACTCCACAGAATGGCTATGTGAACCTATCACAAAACAGAAAAAAGTCACAGTATATAACAAACTATGTGTCACACTGTAAAAACAAAGTCTGTGACAATTTAGCATTATATCTCAACAATGCCCTAGGTTCATCAAGAACTGATTTATTTTTTATTAATTCTCCTTTTTCTGGTAGAGAAAAGCTATTTTTTTTCCTCTCATGAGTTCCCAAACATTGAATATTTCCCCTAATAGTTCCACATTGTCTGATATTTAAATTGGTTTAATAAATATATAAAATTTACTTAATAAATTAAAAATATTGTTGAATGTGAATTTCTGAAGTGCTGGTATTTAGTTAAGTTGTATTTGCCTGTAAGACAGTAGGCAGATTTAAGTGCCTGAAAAAGATTGAATAAGAGAATGTCAAAAACATTTTAAAAAGATATTTAGATTGTCTCTTAAATAACCTATAAAGTCTTGAACATAAACTTTGGAATCAGCTTTTGCATGCTATGTGATTAAACTCTTTTGCATCAAATAATCTTAGATTCCAAAATGTTTCTAAGTAACTGAATCAGTACAAATCAAATCAGCTTTCTATGTTTAGCATTACATGTAAACATATTGTATAAAATTTATATTTTTATAATTTATCAGCAATGGTTAGAACAATACAGTAATAAACTTCTCGCATATAATGCTTTTGCTTTTTTTTTGAGAAAAGATTATGACTTATGTTAAAAAAAATCCCTAAAGTTTTACAATCATTAAATTTGTTGTCCCTGGTTGTGCCACAGTCATTTAAGAAAGAGACATGATAGTTACTGCATGTATTTGAAGCCTGATTGAATGCCATTTGAAGACATGTGTTTGTTAAAAGGACACATCCCCACAAAGATGCCATTTGACCAGGGTTGTCAAACTCATGGCCCATGGGCCAGATGGGTCATGCATTGGCCACACCCACGCCTGGTTTAGCAAAGGGGGAAAAGTCATGATACATCACCTGATGACGCTGTGATGACACGAGTTTGTGATGACACGAGTTTGACACCCCTGCATTAGAGGAATATCTGTTATGGCCATAAATGTTCTAAAACGTCATTATTGAAGAACAATTCTTAGATACAGAAACTTGGCCTAAATGAGCTGATTTAAAGAAAGAAGAATGATTAGAGTGAAAAGTCTGCTGACCGAGAGGAAAATGTGTTTAAGGAGAACTATTTTGTGGTTTGAAAAACAGAACTTGAACTATTGCATTTTGCTTAGGAACCTTAATTAGATGATCTTCTCTAAACTGCATGCCTTTTCTTCCAACCTTTCCACACATTCTCAGATCCTATAGTGATGTTCCATTACTGATACAGCATCACAAATTAAACAAGTGGATACTTTTCCTTGCTTCAGCTCTTCAATATCCAGCATTACTTTTTTTAAACAGGAAGTATCAGAGTAGATGAAATGGCTAGATTTGCTGAACATTTATATCCAATCTGTAGGGTAGATTTATTTATTGGTTAGTTTGTTTGTGGTATAGGAAGAAAATTACTTGTGGGCAAATTTGAAGCGAGCATCAGGTTTTCTTAATGAGCTTCTGCTTCCACTTCACTATTTTTCTATTCTGAGCCAGTGTTTTTCTGATGGGAGGCCAAGGCAAGTTATATTCTTTTCTTGTCTTTGAGATGTCATGCTGTGTGTTAGGTATAACATTGATACCAAATATGGTTTGGGTGAATAAATAT